GAGAACAACCACCTCCGGCATTGGTTTGTGCTTGCCTAAATCAATGATGTGATGCTGACCCGCCGCCACCTTTTTACCAGTCAGATCATACAATCTTCCACCACCTCTGCAGCAGTGGCAAGACATGCAAAGGAAGTTACCTTTCTGGGAGGAGGTATATGCCGGCGGTGACTTCCCTTGAGTATGGCCTGCGTCATTTGCCTGAGACTCATGGGACCCATGCGCCACTTTTGTCTTCTTTGGCATTGGCTTTGCTGGCTTCGGCCTAGGCTTCACCTTCACCGTGGCCGCCATACCGGCAATGCCGGTGGCTGCTTTCACCACCACATTAGGTTGCGGCCTGGTAGCGGTAATGCTTTGTGCCTTCTCCCTCAAAGGATGTTGTTGGATTTGGGGATCATCAGTTTGGATCTTGGCCCATACAGGTGCACTGGCAAATGATTGTTTCACCGAATCCAGGTGCTCCAGCATCTCCATGGCTGCTGAAAGGACAATCAGCGGGATGGTCGTTGCAGACATACCATGGGTGGCAAATACCGTAGACTACTTGTAGTCAACACATGACCCTACATTGCTATTAAAAGAACACTGACCATCAGATATCCAATTTCCACAGCCAGCTTGAGGTAATCGGGATGACCATCCCTCAGCTTTGCCGCCTTCTGTACAACTTTCATAATCTGCTCTGCAGCATCGCCCATGGCAGTGTTAGAAAATTCAGCGGTGGGCATGGTGTGGAAAATAATTGCAAGATGGGAGAGAACGGCATTGATAATATATATCTATACAAAATTTGAAGTCAGTCGCTTCTTAGCACCGAACACACAGCAAGCATGTTTGAGAATCACGTGGTCCGGGGGTTGCCAGTTAGTCAATCCATTGTTCAGGTGCCACAATTTCAACTTCTGCGATCCACAACCAGATCAGATATATAATCAGTTGGATAAAGCCCTCCAATTCTCCATTCTTGTCAAACATCACATGTCCCATCCTTCCAATCGCCCATACCAAGCAAAAGTACAATTTGAATCACCCATGGAAATGGACGAATCTTCCTATAGCAGTGAAGCTGGAATGCTGGTGAATGTCGGTGGCCCACGTGAGTTGATCTTCCCAACTTCAGCAATGCACCATCCTGACACCCTCAGGTTTCAATTTCAGCATGTCTCTGCCTATTGCACAGCCACCGATGGCGCCAAGATTTAACTTTGGCATGGATCTTGATATTGGCGCAGCTCCATCTGCAGCACCTCCTACACCATGGTTCAACTTTGGCATGAACTTGAGCATTCCTGCCGCCATACCGCCCTCATCCCCGGCGCTCCCCACCCCGAAACCATTTAACTTGGGGTTCGCCCTGCCTCTATCCGCACAGCCAGCCCCCAAGCCATTCAATCTGGGCTTCAATCTTCTGGTGCAGTCCATGGGTACCCCGGCACTAGCTCCGTCACCGCCAACAACAAAGCCATTCAACCTTGGCTTCAATGTCCCAATGGCAGTCACCCCGCCGACCACAAGGACTGGTGCCGGCCCAGGAAGATACAAGGCATGTTGGTTATGATATCAATAATAGATGTAAGTAACATAATCTCCTTTTAGTTAGTATTGACCATCTTGTACAGCATTCCGGTTTGAATGTGAGCCTCCCTCCCCCATTGGGGAGTGGCAATCAGAGCTCATTCGTGTACCGCAACCTTCACCATATGTTGCCTTGCTGTGTGTTGGATCGCTGCCTGCAATCCCAGATGCAGCACCAGGACCATCCATATCTCTTGTATTGCCCCACACCAGCGGGCATCTGGACTGGCCCACACTGAAATCTTTGGTCGGTGACGCCGAGCATGCAGCAATAGATGTTCTGAATCGCCTTTGTGGGGAAGAATGTAAGTGTATTTCATTGACACAGCATGGCACATGCTAATATCTCTTAGTTGATCATCTGGCACAGATGATGGTTGGCAGCGCCTTGGGCCCAGGAGATGATGTCTGGGATCCCAAGCCGGATGAAGTGTTGGAGAGCAATAGGATGATGCTCATGGCGTTCTGTGAAAGCAGAGACGTGTTAACAAGGATCTTCAAAGATCTAATTAGCCTGCATCACCTTGCACAGGTTCATGAGAGGGTTCTTCCTGTGGTGGAATCCTTGTTGGATGAAGTTGACCAGGCAGAGGCACAGCCTGGTGAAGAAATGTAGATACCTGAATACTTGTAATTTCCCCTTTTCTCTGATTACACAATACAGTGATCAGTTACCAAAGCCTACATATAAGAATATCTGGTGAGGAATCACCTGGTGAGGGGTGTTGTAGAAGTGAAGTGAAACACCTGCTAATCTTCTCCCATTCATTGCGGCAGTGCCTGCCATGTCCATTTATTTTGGTGGTGCCTGCCCTGGCCAGCTCTGCACATAGCCTTCAGTGAAGTGCCGGTTATATTAAGCAGAATTCAATTTCCATACTACTTCTACAAAGTATTGACCATGGAGCAGTACCTGGAGTAGCCTGCTTGTGGGATATCCACAAAATCATGAACATCCGGGCAAGAAGCCTGTCTTCGTGAGCAGGGTTGATGCCTTTTTCCATCATGTGCAGAACATCTGCATACCTGACTACATCTAAATTGATAGTGACTAATATTGATGAGATTAAAGATCACATAAGGCACTGCCAAAAGAGTCATACCAGGGTTCCGATAGGCATCGGCGAGGGTACTAGCCAGTTTTGAGCATGCCATGAGCATGACAAAATCTAGTTTGAGTGGGGGAATAGCATTGGGCCGTCCACCGATCAGTGCTAGGAACTGGCGAGAGACATATTCACTAGCAATATGGGTTGTGGCCAAGGCCCAGTCAGGAGGAATATGAATCATAGCTTCCATATAACATACTAGTCATTGTACTTATATGTCTGGCGGCAACCCAGTTACATAAAATACCACATTGATGACATGAGGATCGATGTAAGGAGGCATGTGTACTGCTCATTGTCTTGACCTACCCACCCTTTTATGAAATCGGCAAAATCCAGTTTGCTGAGCTGGTGTTTGATGCAGAAAAGGTAACAGCATAAGCACCGCCACAATTAGTAGACAGTGTCGCCAGCAACTTTAGATTTGTGAATAGGTGTCGGCGGAAGCCAAAGCAGAGTAGCAGCTGTTTAACAGCATTTCCTCAACATACTTCCTCGCCAGATGTTCATGCATGGGTCAGCCCGGTTTTTATTAATTTTTGTTATTTTTGATGATCTTGTTCCTGGGTGGTCGAGGAAGAGTGTGTTGGTATTGCAGGAAGTGAGGGACTAGGTATATTCGTATATCAACTAGTTGGCATGCCTCCAATGGAACTGGTTCTATTGGAGGGACTAGGTATATTCATACATCAACTAGTTGGTATGCCTCCAATGGAACTGGTTTCATTGGAGGGACTAGGTATATTCGTATATCAACTAGTTGGCATGCCTCCAATGGAACTGGTTCCATTGGAGGGACTAGGTATATTCATATATCAACTAGTTGGCATGCCTCCAATGGAACTGGTTCCATTGGAGGGAGTAGGTATATTCGTATATCAACTAGTTGGTATGCCTCCAATGGAACCAGTTCCATTGGAGGGACTAGGTATATTCATATATCAACTAATTGCATTGCATACCTCCAATGGAACTGATTTTATTGGAGGCAGTTAGGTATATTTGAGGTATGTAGATACCACACAACCTCTAACTTATGAATATACCTACTCCCTCCAATGGAACCAGTTCCATTGGAGGCATACCAACTAGTTGATGTATGAATATACCTAGTCCCTCCAATAGAACCAGTTCCATTGGAGGCATACCAACTAGTTGATGTATGAATATACCTACTCCCTCCAATGGAACCAGTTCCATTAGAGGCATGCCAACTAGTTGATATACGAATATACCTAGTCCCTCCAATGAAACCAGTTCCATTGGAGGCATATATTATGAAAAGACCTAAAATAACCCCTTCATAACCCCAACCTATATAGAAAAGTCCTATATAATTTTAATTTGTCCTCTGTGTGAAATGAGAGTATCCAACATGCGCTACTACTTAATATGGTTAAATTGAGCGATCGGTCACGCGGTCACGGTAGGCGTAGGCGTCGTCGAAGTTTCTGAGGTTAGTGTCTTGAACTTCTCGATTGCACACCTCTTGAGCCTGCTAGTTCTTGTGATTATGTACTGTATATCGTGATATATGGCATTATACTTTCTTCGTCGGTTCACTGATGTATGACACGCTAAAGAGTCATCGCCACAGCGGGGTTTGTAAGTAGTAACCGACCACAGTGAATACTTTTTCCCCCCCTGCATCATGGCGCGTCGTAAACGTTCTGACTCGACTGCCTCGTCTGATTCATCTGTGTCCTCGCACATGTCAACCTCAGCATCGTCAGCGGAACCTTTACCTCCGAAGAAGGCCACGGTTTCAAACAAGGACACGAGGCCCAAGAAAAGACTCCGTTCGTCAGATCATGATAATGAGAACAGGGCAAGGTAACTCGATTATTTCATTCCAAATGTTCTGATCATTCATAACAATTCAATATAGAAAAAAAGAGTCCAACCTCGATCCTCATGAGGAATTTCTCGCTGCTGCACGCTGTATAGCGCGCTGCATCGACGTGTTTTGTAAGACAAAACAACTAATTGATGTAGGTTTGGCTCTGCAGCAGCGCGATGATGCGGAGAATGGTGAGCTATCGGAAGACGAAGATTTCCAGGTTTGTCGCGAGAAGCGACTCTCAAAGATGTAAGTCAATCTCAAATCTTAGTATGAACTAATTCTTTTATTGCTTCGCAGTTCATCTAAAGTCCAAGAACGATATAAAAGGAACTATGCTCGGCTGCTTCAGCTCGCTCCAAGCTTAAAACCTCTACTCGGCGACCCTCGGAAAGCCTCCGAGCTCGATACTATCATCAAGAAAGTGAGTGCATGCGCATTTATATATATTATGTACTTATTTGATCCATCAGATGGATGCTACTATCTCGGCTACTCGCTCTGAGGACACCTCACGTCTCAAGAGCCAAATCGGCCATTACGCAGCCTTCAGCACCAAGGGCCACCCAATACATCCGGCTATATACGACGGAAGTGGTTCGCGGACCCATTTGGGTATCAACCACCCTGTTCTAGCGCGTTTTCTCTGTCCGGTCAGGGAACTCGGGAGATTTTCAGAGGACGCCGACAAGTGAGGTTTTTTAAAGTTCATCTCACGTTAGTTTAATATTTCGCAGGGCACTTAAAGACATTCAGTGCGGCAAGGTTAACTTGACCGCATTCGATCTTCCCGCATTCCTATGGGCCGGAGACCCACCAGGTCAAGACTACGACGACGACAACATGTTCGAGGGCATGTTTGATGGCTACTTA